TTTACGTCAACTTTGGCTCCGCCGTCTACCATCACATGCACAAGCTATTTTAACCGCACAATCAGAGCTTCCTCTGGATAAGGTAGCCGAGCTGGCTGACAAAATTGTTGAAGTGCAGCCAGCCCCCTCGCAATTCGTCCATGCTGTTGCCACGACGAACAATAAAAAGGAACTCGATGTTTTAGCCGCCATTGAAGCACTCGCAAAACAGGTAAGCGAATTATGTGCTAAACGCCCGCAACGTTCCCGCTCTAGGTCACGTAACCGTTCAAACGTGGAACTGACTAACGGCAAAGGATGGTGTTGGTATCATAGCACTTATGGAGAAAAGGCTGCCAAATGTAAGGCTCCCTGCAAGTATCAGGAAAACTCCAACGACAGTCAGTAGCGGCGGCAACAGACTGTCCGAACCCGAGCAGCCGCCTGTTTGTTACAGATCAAATAACAAAACGCCAATTTTTAGTCGACTCCGGTTCCGACTTATCTTGTTACCCTCAACGGCTACTACGGGAACGACGCCATGCCACCGATTACGACCTCAGCGCGGCCAACAACAGTACCATAAAAACTTACGGGACGGTCCATCTCAATTTGAATTTAGGACTTCGACGCAGTTTCCCGTGGAGTTTTATTGTCGCCGACGTGAGTACTCCTATCATTGGTTCCGACTTCATGGCATACTACCACTTGCTGCCGGATTGCCGTACCAAACGTCTTATTGATGGTGTCACAGGCTTGGCTGTGAATGGTAAGGTTTCCTCTGTAAATCAATGCAGCATAAAATCAGTTGCCAACACTTCCCCTTGGGCTGCACTTCTCGCAGAATTTCCGGACATCACACGTCCCACCGGATTGCCCAGGACAATAAAACATCAAACAGTGCACCACATTCTTACGACACCTGGTCAGCCAATAGCCTGCCGCCCACGCCGCTTAGCTCCAGGTAGACTAAAAATCGCCAAACAGGAATTCGCGGAAATGGTCAAGGCAGGTACCGCTAGACCTTCAAGCAGTCCGTGGTCTTCACCATTACATTTAGCACCGAAAGGGGAGAACAGCTGGCGTCCTTGCGGTGATTACCGCGCGCTGAACGCCCGAACTATACCAGACTCCTATCCAGTCAGACACATACATGATTTCTCGCACAACCTGGCTAATTGCACGCTATTTTCCACAATCGATCTGGTAAAGGCTTACCATCAAATACCTGTTAATCCGGACGATATATGCAAAACAGCCATTACCACTCCATTCGGACTTTACGAATTTCCTTTTATGACATTCGGATTGCGAAATGCTGGACAAACTTTTCAACGCTTCATAGACGAAGTTACCAATGGGTTGGACTTCTGTTATGCATATATTGATGACATTTTGGTATTCTCTAAATCGGAAGAGGACCACAAACAGCATTTACGCACTCTTTTCGGGAGACTTTCTGACTACGGTGTTGTCGTTAACCCGCAAAAATGTGTATTAGGTTCGGCTGAGGTGAAATTTCTAGGTTACCTAGTATCTTCTGAAGGCACCCGCCCGCCACCGGAACGCGTCGAAGCCCTACGACAGTATCCATTGCCAAAATCTATGCAAGGATTACGCCGGTTTTTGGGAATGGTAAATTTTTATCGCCGGTTTATTCCCAAAGCTGCCGACCTGCAAGCACCACTTCACGGTATTCTCAAAGGCCCGAAGACAAAAGGTTCCCAACCGATAGAATGGACTCCCGAGTTAGAAAAAGCGTTCACCACATGCAAAGAAAGTCTTGCGACCGCTACTCTTTTAGCACATCCTCATCCAGCCGCACGACTTGGACTATTCACAGACGCATCTAGCCAATCTATCGGCGCATGTCTGCAGCAGCGAGTCAATAACATCTGGCAACCCATAGCATTTTTTTCAAAGAAAATGTCGGTGAAACAAAGTGCGTGGCCTGCGTATTATCGTGAGTTGCTTGCCATCTATGAATCGGTGAAGTATTTCAGGCACATTGTCGAAGCACAACCATGTACCATTTTCACCGATCATAAGCCACTCGTATATGCTTTCACCCAACGGAGAGAAAAGATACCTCCTACGCAACTCAACCAGTTGACATTCATATCCGAATTCACCACCGACATTCAACACATTAAAGGTGATGAAAATATCGTCGCGGATACAATGTCACGCATTGAAGTTGTGTCTCTCCCGCTGGACTACCGAGCTCTTGCTGCATCTCAAGACACGGATGATGAACTCAAACATTTTACTGACAACAATTCATCTCTTCATTTGGAGAAGGTACTAGTGCCAGGATCTTCAGCCTATATTTATTGCGACACGTCAACGGGACGCCCACGACCATTTTTGCCACAACGATTCCGGCGTCACGCATTTGATCAGTTACACAACCTTAGTCACCCCAGTGCACGCGCAACAGCTCACTTAGTTTCGGAACGATTTGTGTGGCCAGCAATGAAAAAGGATTGCCGTTCCTGGACACGTGCCTGCGTCCACTGTAAGCGATCGAAAATAAGCCGACATGTCTCAGCCCCACTGGGAAACTTTGAAACACCTTCACGCCGATTCAAACATGTTCATGTCGATATCATCGGTCCATTGCCGCCATCACAGTCCTTTAGGTACTGTCTGACGGTAATCGATCGTTTCACCCGTTGGTCGGAGGTGTATCCACTCGAACGTATAACAGCAGATGATGACACTAAGGGTTTCCTCAATTGCTGGATTTCACGCTTCGGAGTACCTCAATACGTTACGACTGACCGTGGTACTCAATTTGTTTCAGCTACTTTAAAAACTTTAGCAAAACGTTTTGGTTTTACGCTTCGCCCCACTACCAGTTGGCATCCTGCTGCAAACGGATTCGTCGAACGAATGCACCGACAACTAAAGGCAGCCATCATGGCCCACGCAAAAGACTCGTGGACTGAGTCACTGCCTATCGTGCTTCTCGGAATACGTTCTGCGTTTAAGGAAGACTTAAAAGCCACGTCTGCGGAACTTGTTTATGGTGAGCCTCTTAATCTTCCTGGTGATTTCTTCACAGACAAGCAAGATAATAGCAGTACGAACGACCCTACTAGCTTACTAGATCGTCTTCGCAGTGTTATGAATAAAATTCGTCCAGTACCTGCATCTCGCCACTCAAATCCACGATCATTTGTTTTTGCGGACCTTAAGGACTGTTCACACGTATTTCTCAGGGAGGGAGGTGTCCGAGCAGCACTTCAACCGCCATATCAAGGTCCCTACGAAGTAATTGCCCGAAATGACAAAACGTTCACAATAAAAGTTCGAAATCAATCAGTTACGGTGACGATTGATAGAGTAAAACCTGCCTACCTCATGGTGAACGAAAGCACAACCGTTAGCCAGGCACATGCTCCACCAGCGACTGCCCCGGATACGACCAAACAAAAACAACCGCCTAATACCGATCCATCAACACAGCCAGTACGAACAACTCGCTCAGGCCGCCGAGTCAGATTCCCGGACATTTTTGACCCTAGCTAACTCCATACCGTAGGGGGGTGGTGTGGCGGTCGAATATTCTAGAATGTTCGACCGCCACCGCCTCTAGAAGATTCGTCGCTCTACATAAGCGTGTGGCGGTCGAATGTCTAGAGAGTTCCGACGCCGCCTCTAGAAGATTCCTCTGACTATTTAAGGGCAAGATCGTCGCTCCAGTCAGTCAGTCGATCAGTCAATCACTTACGCATTCTGTCTTAAACGCGCTTCGTCTGTCGCTGTTATTTGTTAGTTCGTTGTAATATAGTTCGTCTCTCGCTATTATTTGTTAGTTCGTTGTAATATAGTATAGTTGTTATTAAATCTTAAAAGTGTTTATTACTTCTATATATTACACCTCGCTACATATATATTATTTTTGGATAATTTTGATTATTAATGATGTTTAAAATTAAATTTAAAGTTCAATTAAGGTTTCAAAGGAAAATATAAAATATTATTGGATTCTATAATCTTTTTTTTTACAATCATATATTAAAAAAATTAATTTAATATACATGAACTAATTTATTAAATATAAGAAAAATTATTCATTTTTTAGCCAAATGTTTATATAATCATAAGAAGTATAGATTTTTTAGCTTCGATGCGAAGCTGAGAAGGTATTAATTTTATCATGATAATTTTTTTTTATTTTTTTGTGTCTTGCAAGTTGAGCTAAATGTTATGGTAATACATTTTTTTTTTTTTTATGTGTTTTTTTTTTTGTGTCTGTTACTCAGATTTTACTCAGAACTCACTGAATCGATTTCTTTTAACAATACGTTAAAAGATTACAAATCTTATTTAGTTGAAGACATTATCCTCAAAAATTGATAAATTTGGCCTTGTTCCCATAAATAGTGAAAATCCTACAAAAAATTACCCTCGTTACCCGTAAATGGGGGAAACTTCCAAAAAAACCTCCAAAAAAATTACAAATTTAAAAATCACTAATTTTCATAATTTTTTCAATTTTTTTTACTTAAAACTGCCATAACTTTTTCAAAAAATGACAAATAAATATAATTTTTTTTTATAGATACATAAAGTTTTTACCTATCATATGGTATATTTTTTTTATAAATTTGACCCTTTACCTGCCCACAGGCGGGGATTTAAAATGACAACTTTTTTACAAAAAATTAATTTTTTCAACTTAACTTTTGAAAGTGTTCCAGAAAGTCTGACACTATTATATATGTCTTAATTTAAAGCTAATGTAATGTACTTTATTACGAAAAAAAAAATTTCTGACTTTATTTTGTCTTCATGATGAAAATGGCTACCGAATCTCGTTTTTATTTTTTACATTTTTAACTTTATAATGCTATAACTTATTGAAAAGTGTATGGATCAATACAATCTTTTCATGAGAAATAATATTTTTTAATAATCCCTTTTTCATTCAGGGTATTCATATGAAAATAGCAAATCATGTAGCTTTTGGAATAATCCATCAATTTTTTTTNTGAAAATAGCAAATCATGTAGCTTTTGGAATAATCCATCAATTTTTTTTAATTAAACACTATCTAAAGATTTGCAACGAAGCTTTTTTTTATAGTGATTTTAATCACTGTCAGATATCATTATACTTGATCCAACTATCCACGTCACCACTGTGCCGCGACTCCCCTTTGCTGGTTTTTTTCTTTTGTATGTTATTATGGTATCAGATAAGCGTGTTTCTCCGGTGCGCACCGGTTACTTGTATTGTATTTATAGTAGTGGAACGATGAACTCGTCATCGTAAAGAACGACACGACGCTCACGCCAATATGTGTATACATAATAAAGTATTATAAACTAAGTTATAAGTTTTATGTCGCTCATATTAGTTAAACAGTTAATAGTAAACGTATTATATAGTCCACTCTGAAACCGAAACAAAATGTACGTAACTGTATATTTAACTTCTATTTTATCATAATGATAATTCGCTTAAATTTTTTATATGATTAAACTAATAATATTATTCATTACAGATGAACTACTTTTGTGTATTGTAAATGACAGTAAATCAAATAAAATAATAGTAGTATACTTATAATACAAATAATTAAATTAATATTATTGATAGATCAAATACTAATATATTTCTGTTGATAAAGCAACAGATAATAAAAAATTTTTTTATTTTTATATTTAAAGATTAAATGATTAAAATAATCTTTTTTTTAAGCTAAATAAATTATTTTAAGCCCATATTAAAAAAAGTTTCTTTTTATAAGATCTTAAAAATATGAATCTCACAGCAACACTGAGCTAGGAATATTTTTATATTGTAATACTTATTAAAATTATAATATGCTCTTTTAAAAATATTGTTACGTTTTAGGAAAAGACGCAGAAGTATTTAAACATATTCTTGAAAATAATACGTATAGTAAGTATCTTATATAATATATAATATTATATATTATAGTATTAGTATAGAGTATGTGTATATATATAGTATACAGAGTATTCAGTAAGTAAAGAAACAGATCAGTTGTTATAAACAATGAGAACAATAGAAATGCGTTTTTTTATTTGCTGAACACTCTATATAGTGTTAGTATTAGTTTGATTTATTGTCGTATATAGTAGTACGACACTAAAAAATATACGTATTTATTTCCATTACTTATTATTTTAAATGGGGGGTGCCATGAAATGCAACGACTTATAACGTTGCAAACTCGTATGTCCTAAGGTATNACGACTTATAACGTTGCAAACTCGTATGTCCTAAGGTATTTGTTAATAATTATTATTCTCAAAAAGTACCTACTTTTTTTAGTACAAAAATGAGTGTTTAAATAAATTAGAATTTAATAAAAAAAAACACATTTTTTCTAAAGAACGCAATAAATGTCTTTTAACATATGATAACTAAACTTAACTTTAAACTGATATTGGTTATTGTCAAATTATTCTATTGATTTTTTATAAAATTAAAAATGTTTGATAACAAAGTCATGTAAAAATTCATTGCTAATTTTATAGTTATTTAAAAATTATGTATAGCATTTTGTTACGTCGCTATTTAGGGGTTTAGCCTAAATGCCCGTCGAAAGTATTCTAAGAGACCAACGGGGGATAGCTGGCTAGGCTATATCTACCTTAGGTACTGAAGTTTTCTATATATATATATATATGTCTATTAAACGGTACAACGATGTTATGGGAGACAGAGATATGGGCACATGCAAATGTGATCGTATCAATTTCATAATAAATTTGAAAATTTATTATACATTTACTTAACTACTCATTTTGTTTTAGATATATTAGCACATTATTTTTTAAGAGAAGGTAATTTTTTATATTATTATCGCTATTATAAATACTATTTCTACTTTAGAGTAAGGTGTGCCAGTGAGATATTTTGCCATAGCTATTTATATTTATCTGAAAATGTTGACACAAACTGAATAGAAATATATTGAGGTATACTCACACGGGCATTTCAATAAAGTTATTCTCTGACGCAAAATTGTCAGCACGTATTTGTCCTGCTCACAAATGTTGTAATTCTAAACAATTAAACAGTGTTTTATTCTGAATTATTTATTTTTATAGATTTAGTAACTCTAAAGAGGAATGATACAAGTAATTACAATTTAAATCAAATATTGCGTATCACATAAATTTCAATTTATAAATGTTCAACAATTATGTCCACCGCAAACCTAATAATA